AAAAAAAAAAAAAAAAAGGCAATGAAATGAGATACTATAAATCAAATAATTACAAGAAGTCCATAGAATTAAACAGATACTCACCCGGCACATATTTGGACCATTATCTTATCACAATCTTATTCATCTCTGAGAGCACTGAGGCCATCCAATGGGCAATTAGGAGCATCCTGTCCATCTGGCCAAGATAATTATGGAGATGACAGTGGAGAAGGAACCCCTGTGCTATTTCCTGTAGCACAGGATCCACAAGATACAATACTTGGTGACCCATTGGCTAGTTCACTCACTCATCTCTTCAATGTCTTTGAAAAGTGACAAAGTATTATGCCTTGTCTCTCATAATGGGGGACTAAAAAGGGGTTTTCATGCCTTCTAAGAAAGACATGGGGAGCTCTGGTAGCATAGTGCCTAAGGCACTTGACCGCTAACCAGAAAGCTGGTGGTTCAAACCCACCAGCCACTCCTCTGAAGGAAGATGGGGCAATCTACTTCTGTAGTGATACTGCCTCGGAAACCCAAAAAGGGGTCGCTATGAGTTGGGTCCAACTTGAGGGCACATAACAACAACAACAACAACAAGAAGAGAGACATGATACAGGGAGGGAGAGGTTGCATGTCTTGGAGGAGAGCCTGAGCCTACGTCTTCCCACCTGAGCCCCTGCAGCTGCCTCCTAACAATTTTCTCATGTCCACTCACCCTTTATTATTATTGTATTTTTGCCTTTTTTATTGTGGTAACATGAATACAACGTCAAATTACCATTTTAGGCATTTTTAAGTGTAGATTTCAGTGCCTTTAAGTCCCTTCACTATCTTGTGCAACCATAACCACTATGTAGTTCTGGAACTTTTCATCACTCTAAAGAGAAACTCTGTACTTGTTAAGGAATAACTCCCCGTTTCCCACTCTCCACAGCCCGTGGTAAACTCTAATCTAATTTGTGCCTTCAGGAATCACCTATTACAGATATTTTATATAAGTAGAGACATGTAACAGTTGGCATTTTCACTCTGCACACTGCTTTCAAGGTTCATCCATGTTGTAGCAGTACATCATTTCTTTCTATGACGGAATAAGATCCCACTGTATGGAGAGAACACACTTTGCTTACCCATCCATGTGATGGCAGACATTTGGACTGTCTCCACCTTTCAGATATTGTGACTGATGTTGCAACATTCATGTACAAGTTTTTGTTTCAGTACCTGTTTTGTCCATATGCCCTTGGCTCAATATTTTCCTCTTGGAAGGCAAGGTCATTATGTCCTTTAGCCGAGTAGGTGGATTTGATGTTAAGTACT